AGGCAACTGGGAAAGCCTGGGATGACTGTGAGGTAACGAGAACCTTACTGGGGCAACTGGGAGTGACTGGGCATGACTACAAGCATACTGAGGTTAACTGGGATATACTGAGAGTGGCAGTAACCATGCTGGGGGACTGGAACCACACTGTGAACGACTGGGACCATGCTGGGGGCAACTGGGAGTGACTGCATCTACACTGGGGGCAACTGGGACTATGCTGGGGGCAACTGGGAGCGACTGCATCTACACTGGGGGCAACTGGGCGCGACTGGAACCATGCTGAGAGGGACTGGGACTATTCTAGGGACAACTGGGATCATACTGGGAAGAACTGGGAACAGCTGGAACTATGCTGGGAGGAACTGGGATCATACTGGGATCACAGTGGGAGCAGCTGGGCCCATCCTGGGGGAGACTGGCATCACACTGAGAGAGACTGCAATCATACTGGGAGTGGCTGTGGGCAACTGGAATCATACTGAAAGCAATTGGGAGGAAGTGGGAGTGACTGGGAGCCTGCTGTGGGCAACTGGGATATACTGGGAGAGACAGGGAGTCACAGGGATCATACTGGAGGCTACTGGGGTCACACTGGCATTGACAGAGAGCAACTGGGACCACAGTGGGGGCCACTGGCATCATACTGGGAGTGACTGGGATTAGACTGCAAGTGACTGGGATCATACTGGGATCATACTGGGACCATACTGGGAGTGGCTACTCTCATGGGATTGTAGCCACTGGGATTATAATGAGTGTCAATGGACCCTCACTGGGGGTTACTGGGAGCCACAGGCCGATGCTGGGAACAAACCGCAGACACACTGGGAGCAACTGGGAATGACACAGTGCACACTGGTGACAAGTGTGATGTACTGGGAGTGACTGGGATAATCCTGGGGGAAACTTAACTCTGCTGAGGTAACTGGGAGTGCTGGGAATGACTACCAGAATGTTCAGACAACTGGATATACTGGGAGTGTGTGAGACCATATGGGTCTATACTGGGGCTACACTGGGAGAGACTGGGAATGTGCTGGGGGAAACTGGGACCATGCTGGGTACAACCCAGGACAACTGGAAGTGACTGGGACCCTGCTGGGAGAGACTGGCATCATACTGGGAGGGACTGGGACTGTACTAGGGGCAACTGGGAAAAGTGGGAACACACCAGATAAAAGTGGGAGGAA